ACCTACTACAGGACAGGCCCAACAAAGAAAATAACAGAACGCCACTAACTGTCACCTTCAGCCCCCAACTAAAACCTCTCCAGTGCATCATCAAGGATCTACAACCTATCCTGAAAGATGATCCCCCACTCTCAGATCTTGGGAGACACACCAGTCCTCGCTTACAGACAGCCCCCCCAACCTGAAGCAAATACTCACCAGCAACCACACACCATACAACAAACACTAACTCAGGAACCTATCCTTGTAACAAAGCCCGATGCCAACTCTGTCCACATATCTATTCAAGTGACACCATCATAGGACCTAACCACATCAGCCATGCCATCAGTTCACCGGCACATTTACCAACATGATATATGCCATCATGTGCCAGCAATGCCCCTCTGCCATATACATTGGCTAAACCGGACAGTCTCTACGCAAAAGAATAAATGGACACAAATCTGACATCAGGAATCATAACATTCCAAAACCAGTGGGAGAACACTTCAATCTCTCTAACCACACAGTGACAGACTTGAAAGTGGCAATTTTGCAACAAAAAAAACTTCAAAAACAGACTCCAAAGAGAGACTGCTGAACTTGAATTAATATGCAAATTAGACACAATTAACTTAGGTCTAAACAGACTGGGAATGGTTGGGTCATTACACTAATTGAATCTATTTTCCATGTTAAGTATCTGCACACCTTCTATGGGTCATCTCGATTATCACTACAAAGGTTGTTGTTTTTTTCTCCTGCTGATGATAGCTCATCTCAATTGATTGGCCTCTTACAGTTGGTATGGCTACTTCCACCTTTTCATGTTCTCTATATGTATAAATATCTTCTTCCTGTGTGTTCCATTCTATGCATCCGAAGAAGTGGGCTGTAGCCCACGAAAGCTTATGCTCAAATAAATTTGTTAGTCTAAGGTGCCACAAGTACTCCTGTTCTTTTCACACTGTACTGTCTCTGAAGAGAAGACAAAAGAAGCCTGCTTACGCAGCCTGTCTTTTGCTGGGGATTTCACAGTATCGTCAAGGGACCATAAGACCTGGAAATATCTCAGGCAGAAGAAAGAGAGATGCTTAACTCCACCCAGGAGAGGCAACAGCTAGGGACCCAGAAACCTAGAGTGGGTGCCCTTGCTGAACCATTGAGGGGGAACCCAGGTGCAGTTGCCCTGAAGAAATCAAAGAAGTATTAGACATTTAAACAAAGTTACAATATAAAAAAAGTTTTAGGAAGGATATAAACCGTTAAACCTCAGGACATTTTTAATAACCGGGGGTTAGGACCCCTAAGGGCAGGATATACCCTTTTTGCCTCTATTACAGAGTGGCTCTTCTGAAGCACTGTCAGACATGATATTGGACTAAAAGACCATTGCTCTGATTCAGCGTGTCAGTTCCTTTTTTTTTTTCCTACTTTCTAAAAAAAAAGGGCAGAAAAAAGTTTCAGGACTTGGCTTTTCACTATGAAGAAACAAAAATAATGCAGATAAGGCCAATTTTCTTTCCTTGGTAGATCACTTTTAAGTCCAATGCACACATAGTGACTGATCACCTCTAGGTAAAGAGGATTAAGAAGTTCTGGATCCACTGTTTCCCTGGAATACAACATTAGGAGTTGATGGCTGTACCACAAAGGAAGAGGACTGTTCTGTTTTCCCCTGTCTACTCTACCCCTCTGAAGTAGTCACACTTATCAAAATACAGTGAGTAAGGGTGAAACACACAGGCATGATATTCCAGCTCAGTCCATTGTCTGGTTTTCTTGATGCTGTTCCCCTCCAATGGGTCATGTGGACTTAACTGCTCAGGAAAAAAAACCTCAGCACTATTTTCAAGTCAAAAGAAAATTTTGGAGTCCTGTTGAAGGGAAAAAAATATATATTTTTGTTCTTCCCCTCCAACAGGAGCTCACACCTAACATGGTCAGACTTCTTTTAATAGAGGCAAAACAGTAGGCAGGATATTGTGTGATCCCTTTGCTACTTTAAAAATGGAATCTTTACCTTCCACCCAAAGAGACAGACTTTCTTCATAGACTTCTGGCCTTAGTCTGATTTCCTGTATAACAGAGCTCATAGGATTTTCCTTGTATTATTTCCTGCTTCAAGTCCAGTAGCTGTACTTAAACTACAGCATATCTGCTAGGAAAACATTTACTTTTGATTTAAAGATGTCCAATGATGGAGAATCCACCATAATCCTTGGTAAATTGTTCCAGTGATTAATTACCCTCACTGTTAAAATCTGACATCTTATTTCCATTCTGAATTCATCTAGCGTCAACTTCCCGCCACTGGATTTTGTTATTTTTTTGTCTGCTAGATTAAAGAGCCCTCTATTATCAAAATTCTGTTCCCCTTGTAGGTACCCATGAACTGTGATCAAATCATCCACTGAATCTTCTCTTTGATAAGATAAATAGATTGAGTTTCTTGCATCTTCTCGCTATACAGCACATTTTCCAATCTTTTAGACATTCTCGTAGCCCTTCTCTGAACCCTCTAAAATTTATTAACATCTTTCTTGTATTGTGGATACTAGAACTGGACACTATTCCAGCAAAGGTTGCACCAGTGCCAAACAAGGAAGTAATATAACCTTCCTACTCTATATTTTCCCATTTAGACATCCAAGCATCAAATTAGCCCTTTGACCAGTGTCATACTGGTAAGCTAACATTCAGCTAATTATCCATCATATCATCAGTGACCTGTTCTCTTGACAAAAGATTGGGGGAATGGTATATAATCATTTGTAAATTTTAAATCACTATTCATTTTTATATTTTTCCTCTAATAAAAAACATAAAAAATTATATAGCACAGGGCTAAGAACGGATACCTGTGGGACACATCCACTTGATGATTCTCCATTTACAATTACACGTTGAGACCTATTAATCAGTTTTTAATCCACCTAATGTGTGCCATGTTGATTTTGTATTGTTATAGTTTATTAATCAAGATGTCATGAGTACCAAGTCAAATGCCTTACATAAGACTATTACATCAACACTACTATTTTTATCAATTAAACTTGTATTCTCATCAAAAATATCAAGTTTAGCAATTTAGCCAAGATCTACTTTTGATAAATCCATGCAGATTGGCATTAATCACCCTCCTTTAACTCTTTATTTGTTGAGTCCCCTATCAGCTTTCCATTATTTCATCTGAGATCGATCTCAGGCTGATGGGCCTATCTGTGTCTGTGCAAGCAAAAGGGGAGCAGGAGGAGAACACTTAATGAAAATTAATAAGAGCCTTAGATGCGGTGTCTGAGAGTTCTGGAAGAAGTCAGGACTTGGTCTACACATGGAGCTCTTCAGGCACAGAGCCACACGTGAAGACACTTATTCCAGAATAAGACAGTCTAAAGCTGCTGGAGCTAAGAAAATTAGAGAACCACTCCTATGGTCTCATACCACCAGATCATGCAAAGACAGAGGTGTAGTGGCACTGGATAGGGAGCCATAAGGAGACTCTCCCTATGGGACTGTCACCTTATCAGCTGATCTACAGTGGCTTCAAATGACAACGTTCAACGCCAACAGAAACATCCGAACCCCCTTCCCTTAGTTAAGAGCTGTGTTTGGACGAGGTAAGTACAAGAGATTGGAAAGGGGAGGCAATAAAGAGATACTTCAGCTCTCCTATCAAAGTAGTTGGAAGCATACAGCCAACGTAGCCAAGAACCATTTTACGTTCTCTTTCATTTCAGCAATTGGAAAGTAAGTTCTCTGGGGTCATCGAAATTGCTGTGCTAATTCCTTCACCGGAGACCCACTCAATAGTAGGATCAGCCTGCGCAGCAGCATTATCACATTGATAGGCGTTACTTGTGCAACACCAAACATCGCAATGGATCCGCTGCTAAACGCTGCCACCTTCCAGCCTCATGTTAGCCACCCCTGTTCTGCATTTCAGGGGAGAGGTTTCGTTGCTTTGATTTGCCAGGCTTTGCCCCCGGACCGCAGCAACCGGTGCACGTCTTCGTCAGTCCAGCAACCGGCAGGGTGCCCAGGCCGCCGGGTCACGCGTCAGCCCCGCAGCCCAGCCTCCCGCATCCCCTGCTGGGTGACCGCGTAACCACTGACCAGCCTCCCCCAGCCGGCAACGCGCACGAGGGACCCCCCGGCCCCCGGCAGCGCCCCCCTCTCGCGAGTCGCGGGCCCAGGCACCGGAGCGACGCCAGGGACACGCGCTGGGACGCGGCCGGTCTGGGTACGTCACTGCGGCCCTGCGCCCCCGGTCCGAGACAGCATCGCCCGACGGCGTCACGGGCGCAGGGAGGGGGACGAGACCCCCGCGCGCTCGGCCTGGCCTGGCGTGCCCCGCCCCCCCGGCGTTTCCCACATCTGCCAGATGACCGCGTCTCGCGGCCGGGGGGGGAGAGAGAGAG